GGAAAGAATGATTGAACCTTTACCTGAGTTCAGCGATGCTGTTTTCTGGGAACCGGAAAATGAAATTATCAGTGAAGATAATGACTCGGAGTACAACGTTACTGAGGAAAGTGAAGGTGAGAGGGGTAGCTTAAGTGCTGGATTTTCCAGTGATCCTGAGTGCAGTGGAGGAGACAGTGATGCCAAACAAAGTCATAGAGATAGCCGCCGTAGGGCAGGAAGGAAAAAGCATAGAACTGAGGTACATTCTTTGTGTGCTTAAGTTGATTCCTTTTTCTTTTTCTTTTTGCATTTTCTTTGGGAGTGAATCTGGCCTCATATGCTGTTAAGGTTGAATGGGTAACTTCGTCGGGGAGACGTGTCAAGAGAAGGAACTTGGAAGAGTGTGAAGGCTCTGCTTCCAGGGATACTCAAAATAAAAAATCAAAAAATCGCAGGAAATCTTCGAAGAGGCAGTCTACCAAAGCACATAATTTGAGGCCCCAGCGTGTTGCAGCACGGAACGCTTTGAACATGATTTGCGAAATCAGTGATACATCTACTGAAGGAGAAAATATTGACGACTCAGGAGACTCATTGTCTGAGAGTGAGTTACTGGGGCTAAACCCAAACAAACAAAGAGACGACAGTGACAGGAACTTCCCTGGTCTACAGAAGGAATGTGGAAAAGGCAAAGAACCAATCACCAAACCTGATGAATTGCCTGAGTATCAGTCAAATGCTGGAAACAGGAAAAGATTGGTCCTGAAGTTTTCACTTCGTGATTCTAAGAAAGTTGTGCCTTCAGAAAACACCAGAATGATAACGCACGATGATGCTGATCTGCTGAATATACCTCCTCATCTTTCTCAAGAGATGACAGAGAACATGAATGCTACAACATCCATCAATGTAGCTTCTCATTCTGTGAATTCGAGTAATGTACATGAGGATAAAGAAGTACCTGAAAATATTGACGGCGTCCTGATTACATCTGCTGGGGACAATGAGAATGAGATCAAATGGGGAGAGGTCAAGATGCGGTCATCAGTGCGTCTGAGATCAGACTTTTTGCCGACTGACGCATCAGAAGGAATTAGGGCAAGTTGTGATGTGAACGAGAAAAATGAGACTGATTTGAATAGGTATGATCTGGGAGGAATTTTAAACTATCTTACTTCTAGAAGTTCTAGTATATTCTGGGTAACTTTTGTCTTGCAGGGGTGAGGAAAAGTGTGGAGCTGACGTACGCGAACCTGGGGAACTCACAAGAACGGAACACCGTGCTAATCTTGAGGGTGCACATACATTTTCATCAGCTGACTTTCCCCCAGAGAGCCAACCAGATGGAAATTCAGGTGCAGTGGAAGAGGACCCTCCACAAAGACCAACTATTTTAAGATTCAAAACAAGGGGTCCGTCCAAACTGAAATCCACTGGAGTCGAAGGTTCAACTGGTGATGAAAGCAATACGAACATAAAGCATCCTCCAGATGCGGAACACAATCAAGACCCTGAAGCTCCCGAAGAGGCTCCATTTGCTGAACCGTTGACCACCATGGAGCAGCTGCACTTGAATTCAAATGCGGTGGTGTCCGATACAGACTTCGACAGGGAAAGGCCACAGAGCTCTGACACAGATGTGGAAGATCTTGATTACTGCAGGGAGGAAGGTTTCGCTGCTTTCAGAGATCCCGATAATATTGCTATGGACTACCCTGAAGTTGTGACAGATGCAATACGTAGAGCAAGATCTTTGAAGATGAAGGCAACGTCCACGGAGCCAGATATCATCAACCACAGTTCCAAGGTTAGAGGACATGAGACTTCAGGGACATCGAAGTTTGCAGAGATATCCTCAAGAAAAGCACGTGATCAGCTTATATCTAAAGATTGGGTGTCAGGTTCAAAAATGATGGTCAGATCAAGGTCTAGTAGGAGCAAAAGGGGCGAGAGTAATAATAATGATCAAGGTTTCCCTTGGGGGGGAAAGGCAAGCCAGAATCTCAGGAAAAAGTCATGGCTGACTTTGTCAGAGCATGAGGAGGGTTATCGCTATATACCTCAGTTAGGCGATGAAGTTGTTTACTTGAGACAGGTATCATTTGATTATTTACCGCGAGCAGTGCTTAATAAGAATACTAAGCTCTACTAGCTTCTTCCTCGGCAATTATGTTTTAATTATTTGATTTTCAGGGACATCAAGAGTTCATCGAATCGAGTTGCTTGCGAGATGTTGGCCCTTGGAGGTCACTTAGAGGGAGTCTGAGTGCTGCGGAAGTTTGCAAGGTTGAAGCTCTTGATTATGCCAATAGTCCAGGCTCTGGGGAGAGCTGCTGTAAACTGACTCTTAAATTTGTGAATCCTGCTTCTAATGTGTTTGGACGGACATTCAAGTTGATGTTGCCAGAGCTGATCAATTTCCCTGATTTTCTGGTTGAAAAGACATGGTATGATAATTCCATGCAAAGAAAGTGGAGCCTTAGGGATAAGTGCCTTGTATGGTGGAGAAATGAGAATGGGACGGGAGGAAGTTGGTGGGAGGGTCGAATAACAACTGTACAAGCTAAGTCGTCCGAGTTTCCTGACAGTCCATGGGAAAGATATTCTGTTCGTTATAGGACTGATCCTCCTGAAAACCATCTGCACAGTCCTTGGGAATTGCATGATCTTGAAGTATCCTGGGATCATCCTCATATAGATTCCGAGACCCGAGATAAGCTCTTGTCCATGTTTTCCAAACTAGAGCGTTCAGTCGGCAAGAACCAGGTTTTTCTTCAGTCCCATATCTTAATATCAGTTTTTGTTTGCTTGTCCTGTCATGCATCCTAAAGTTCATCAGTTTAGAAATGAGAGTCTGGATGCTTACAAGTATTCCTGTGCAAATGTGGCAGGACTACTATGGCTATCAAAAGTTGAATGAAGCCGCTCAGAAATTGGATTTTTCAAATAGGTAACTCCTCTGTATCCAGCCATCTTCTACATGTCGCTTAAAAGTGTAATTTTGATGGATCTAGCAAGTTGCAGAAGTTTTCTTTACAAAACAGAACGGAGGTGGTTCAGCCACTAACAACTAATGTGTACTTTTCAAATGGGCAAGATGCTGAAACATTAGCCTTTTTAATGGAGGTTCCGTATATAGGATCACGGCTACTTTCTTTGTGGTGTCAAATCTGCAATCTATGCAATGGACATGTAACATAATGTTCTTTGGTCTTGAGACAGTGGGTAACCTAATTACTGACCTACTTTTACCCCTTTCATGTTTCGATTTTGCAGATTTCCAGTGGGTTTGGATCCAGAACTGATCCAGCTGAGGTTGGAGAACAACTATTATCGAAGAGCGGAAGCGGTGAGGCGTGACATAACCGAGTTGATGCGCAATGCTCAATCGTACTTCGCGACAAACGCCGAGTTGTCTGTCAAGATGAGGCGCCTGTCTGATTGGTTTACCAAGACATTGTCGGGATTTTAGATTCTTGTGTTCCTTCTCAACTTCACTTACTCTTTTTCCGGGTTGGCGGGCTCAGCTCGAACTACAGTTACATAGAAAACAATTTTGTCAACAGAGCCTCTTTACAGGCAGATAGAGAGAGTAGTTTGTAAGAATTTACTGGTGGCGATCAGAATACATTTATGAGTTCGTCCACATTGAGTTCAATTAATTAATGAAAAAGCTAGACATTTGCTGTTGCCATTCCATTTTTGTTTTGTTAGTCGAAAGCCGAGTGATTTGCGTTTTCAAATCAGTGGTATGTCTGTCTCTCTTGTATGGTTTTTAGTGCAACAGCAGATTAATTGCACAGGTGCGGGCTCCTTGGAACATGGTGGATCTGAGATTTTCTCATGATTTTTTTTATATAATTAAGGGGATGCGAAAGGACGACCAGCATTGGCAATCTTGACCTCTATCTACAACACGGACGGCGACATCACCTGAGCCCGGTCTGGGACGTCTGCCCCATGCCTGTTGCTCGCCGCCGCCGCCGTCACCATTGCAATCTCCCTTCCCTATTCACGAGTTCTCTCTGTGTGTTGGTGTTTGTCTTCTTCTTCTTCTTTTTTTTTTTTTTTTGATAACCCAGGAACCCTCCGCACGGCCGACAGCCGGAGGGGTAAATGTCATCATCCTGGCCCGAAAAAACGTTAATATATCATGGATGATAAGTCCGGTCACAGCCAACGTGGCATTGACGGGGGCCGATTTGCATTACCAACTTAGGCTACTTAATAAATTATATAATAGAATGATGAAAATAAACAAAAAAATAATATTGTTTAAGGGTTAAATTGATAAATAAAAAATTAAGAAGGCGAAAATAAAGAGACTATAGGCTCCGTTCGTTTGGCGGAAAATATTCTCCCGGAAAAAATTTTCCGGGTTTTCCGGTGTTCGGGGGGCGGAAAACGTTTTCCGTGGGAAAATATTTTCCTTCCCCCCTCACAAAATAGCCTAAGTCTATGGAAAATGACTTCCGCTTCTTCAAAAGTGGAAATCATTTTCCGGAGCTGCTTCTTCTTCTTCTTCTTCACTAAGGTCGCCGGTCGCCGCCGCCCGCCGCCCGCCGCCGCCGCCCGGTCGCCGCCCGCCGCCGCCGCCCGGTCGCCGCCGGCCGCCGCCACAGATCGCCGATCGTGCGTCAGCTCGCCATTTGCCCGCGAAAAATATTTTCCGAAACTTTTTCATATTGATCACCGAACACCGGAAAATTATGTTCCGGGAAAACATTTTCCAGAAAAATGACTTCCGGAAAAATATTTTCCAAAAGGAGAATATTTTTCGCCAAACAAACGTAGCCTAAATGTCTTTATTTCTTAAATTATTTTTCTTGAGCAAAATAGCATCCCAAGCCATTCATGGACCGATATGGCCACTTCTTTTGCAAGAGCATTTCTCAAATTATGGTATGATAATTCGTTGTTCTCACATCTAGCTAAAAAGGGTAACGAAAAAGATTAAATTTTTTGGAGGGGGTCAATGTTTTCGGGTCAGAATTAGATCAATTTGAATGGTTTGTGCTTCTTGGGTGTGCCCCGAATATGTTATGAACACCCCAAAAGGAAGAGGAAATAAGGGAAAGATCGAAGCTTTGACGGCGAGAGTCAGAAGACTCAGAACCCACTTCAACCCTCGCCCCCTCCCACTCATCTCGGACAAAAACTCTTGCTTTCTCTTCGCCTTTCAGGTTCTTCTCTCTCTCTCTCTCTCTCTCTCTCTCTCTCTAGGGGAAAGATCGAAGCTTTAAAGTATGTTCACTCGAATTACTCGCGTGAGCTTCAATTGTTGGCGATGATTCGTGCCCTGTTGGCGACCCGTTGGACTGATGCGGCATCTTTTCTTGTTTTGTTTCTTTGTGTTTTTTCGGTGTTTTTGGTTGGTGTCGCGTGGTGGTTCGTTATTATGAACACGAAAGTACGTTTGAGCTGTCCATGGCAATGCCAGAAATGGATTCTCCATGACCAAAAAATATGGAGTACTTAGTTTTTACAGGATAAGTTTCCTAGTTGTAGTAGTGTTGTTATGGGAAATAATTTAGCCGCTGCATTTGTTTGGCTCCTTTGGCAAAAGGTTTGAAGATATGTATTCATTTTCCAAATGGGTTGGGAGTTCACTAATCGCGTTGAAGGAAGAAAGGGGACGTGTGTTCGTGGGGCAAAGGGTCGTTGGTTAATGAAGTGGCAGATTTTTTGGGGCATCATAATCATGTTATGATGACATGCGTTCTGTTGCGGTGTCGGCATGCTTTGGTCCTAGCGATCACTTTGCGAAATCAAGCTTACCCTTCCAGACTAGCGGGGTGGAAAATCTAGGGCTGCTCTAGTTTAATGTTTGACATCTGCAAGGACCTTGTTATGTTTGCAGCGTAGCTTGCAAGCTAGCCGACACCGTTTTGACTTTTTTAGTGTCTATCCATGATAAAATAAGAGTAGTTCATCTGCTCTTGCCTTTGAAGTGGGAATATGAAGGTTGTTTGTTATATAATGCACTTGTGCAGTTCCGACTACCCTGAAACCATTAGTCTCAGTGCTCGCATGCCTTTTGCTTGCTACTTGAACATTGATCATGTCGTCATCTAGCCACTTGATCATTTGCTTGGCCAGTTTTAACATTTAAGGACACTGTTAGAAAGAAGAACAAAAACCTTCGGAGTATGGCATTCCCCAACTGTGTTGGGGATTTGGAAGTTAATGTTGGGTTAACATATACATGTTTGGGTGTTTGGACTGCGTGATTTTTGTTTTGAATATTTTAGTTAAGAAGAGTATGGCAATAGATGAAAGTGAATTTCGTATGAGTTTAAAAACCTCATATCAGAGTGGCGCTGTGCCCAGGTTGCTGAAAGTAATGCTGCCAGATTTTCTGTTCTTGGTTAATTTTGCCAGATTCTTTTCGCTTTGATAAGTTGTTGTATGTAGTTTTTACATTCAAATGGCGGAGAACTGATGGTGCAATCTGGCTGGCTGGCTGTTGGTAGGAGTTGCTTGCCTCCAATTTGTTTCTGATCTCATTCTTTGATCAGTACAGGCCCACAAGTTCATGATGGAGGTCCAATCTCTTGGTGTTCCAAAGCCCCTTGTTCAAGCCGCGCTCCAACTTGGATCAGAAAAATATGCTGTTGCGGCAGCTGCTAATGGCAGCGCTCTTTCGGAGCAACTGGCTTCAATGAAAGAGGAAAGCATGAGGATATTCAAGGAATATATCACCAAGCATAATGTCCCCACTGATGTTCCGGACGACCTTGTTGAGAGCTCTTCCGAAGATGATGTTGAAGCCACCGAGAAGCCACCAGTGAAGTCGAAGAAAACAAAATTAAATTAATGTTCTTGTTAGAATGCCAATTAGATCGTGTACGAGGAGCTCATTTAACCTAGTTATTGTCGTAAACTAGTTTTTAAATTCCAATTAAGTGGCTGCTTAATCAAATTGCCTGATATCAATGTACTTAGGCATTCTCATAATTCTGATATTCTATAATTCTGGTTTTCGATATACGTTCTGTTCTTGCTTTCTCCGTCAGGTTGCAGAGACACAAAGATAAGGTTTATATGGTGAATCACTTGCAAAAAAACCCGTTTGCTTTTAGTAACCAGCAAATCACTTGTTTTAGAATTTGAAAATCACACTGGCCGTTGCTTCTGTTTGCAAAAAATCGTACAGGCTAATATACGTATAGTAAATGATGTGCCTACAACTTTATATGTAGTATCTGGACAAGCGTATATTCCAACTTCATTGACAACCGTAGAGAGAAATCTAACCTTTTTTTCCTAAACGAATCATTTAATGACTATGTAGTTCCTGTAGAAAACCCAGCAACTACACGACAATCTGTACAAGTTCGTAGAAAGTGTCGACTCCTAATGCTGTTGGGTAGGGTATACTTTCACAAAGCAGATTCTGCCACATCTTGTATGGCAATTCTTAAGTTGACCGTACGTAGGAACATGCACTGTCCAAGTCCATTCCTATGCTGCATAGGATCCACATATTAAACATTAGATGCACTTGATTGTACACCTCCTCCTCTACTTTGAATCTCACTGATGGCTTTCATCAGGTGAACCCTGTTCGCAGGCTTTTCAACATGGAAATCCATGCCGGCCTCAAATATCTTCTTCACTTCGGCGCCTGAAGAATGAGCAGTCAATGCTATGATCGGCGTATGGATTCCGTATCGTCTCTCCTCCTTTCTGATCTTTCTTGTCGCTTCATAACCATCCATTGCGGGCATCTACACGGACACAGGAAATCAATGAAAATACTAGCTTAACATTACTTATCTTTAGGAAGTTCAAATCTTGTAACCATTATCTGAATTCAACAAGCAAAATTTCGAGAGGCCTAAACATCTTTTGAGCACTTCAGTGGAGTTTAAAAATAAGAACTCGTTGCTGACGGTAATATTTCCGACAGTTTAATCATGTTCTGACATCGAGGTAAACTTTGGCTGAATTTGAAAATGGTCGTAAGTCTAAAACTATACCTGGCAGTCCATCAATATGTAATCGTAAGGACAATGAATATGTAAGACTCCTCGCTCTCTTTGCTCGTCAATACCCTCACGGATCAATTGTACAGCTTCTTTTCCATTTTCGGATAGCTGAACAGTTGCTCCAAGATTCGAAAGATTACCTAGAGCCAGCTTTCGCATTATCTGGCTGTCGTCGACGACCAATACTCTCTTCCCACTCAAAGGTTTCTCCCTGCTGGTACTTCCAGTTTCTTCTGCTAAAGGTTTGGTTGCTTCTGCAATTTGGACTGGTCTCTCCTTCACCTGTTTGCTCGGTCTTTTCTGCAATGAGCCCCCGAATTCTGGAAGAAGTCTTATCACTCGAAGCAAACGGGTCCCATGAAAGGGCTTAGACATGATGATATCGTCAGGGTCGAGGTTGCCATTAATGGCCCTTTGGTCAATACTTCTCATTGTCGGCTTATCTAACCACACGACCTTACAACAAGTGCTTGGTATGAGTTTCCTAAATTCAGCCACTGCCATGAATATTTCTTGAAATGGTCCAGCACTTGCATCGATTATAAGTAGCACGAAGCCCACTTGATCTTTGTGACTAGGACTTCTGTAGACAGGGAGAATATGGTCTGCTCCATCCAGTGAACTGAGAGATACGCCCCTGACTCTACTGCAAGACTTGCTGCACGAAGCGGATTTGCTCAATCTTTCAATCCTCCAACTCATTTCTGATTTTCCCGAAGAACTATGATATGCATCGTTGACGACCTTCATTTGTACCTTCTTCAGAATAATAGGAAGATCCTGCCACGGGCTCACTACGAGAACTTCTATTCCAAGTTTTTCCATGTAACTCTGACAAGTTCTCCGCCGCTCTTCGTTCTGGATCAATAACACAACAGGAGAACCTTCTGGTTTGGGGCTACGCACTTGTCTGGTGCTTGAGCTTCGAAAGCTCAGCCCAGGACTAGTGGCACGGATGGTTAGCCCAAGATGACATGCTGCTCCATAACCTCCGGCCTCGAGGTCTTCCTCTAATAGTTTTGTAGCACCCGCATCACAAGGGGCAAGGAAAACATTGAACCTGAAGCAGGTTCCTCTCTCGCCCATGTCCTTGTCCCTGATCTGTATATCTCCACCCATGAGGCGGACCTGGTAAAGTGTCTCAATTAGCAAAGACAAATAGTTACTCATGCTATCAAAGATGGCGTGATGATGATTTCTCTTTCCATCAGATGAAACCCCTAGATCATAAGCAGCACAGTTTTATAAAGGAAGCTGCTTCCTACTGATTATAGTGGCTAATATAGTCCCAATGCTGTAGTACGGTTACAGAATGTAATACAGAACATGGCATGCTCATAAATAAGAGGTACAGAAATTGGGAACGTACCAGAGACTGCACAATGCCGAGGCCCAAGCCGGTGCCTTCTTGTCCTTGAGCTGTTTCTTTGACCTGGATATAGTTTTCAAATACCGACTTTCGCATCTCTTTGGGAATTCCTTTGCCTGTATCGTCTACCTCGAATACAAATTCTGCAGAATGAGGATTTTGCCGGAATTCCGTCATAGCTTCATTGCCACTGTCCTTGTCATTCTTCTCAGAGGAGAAGCACATTAAGCGATTCCACCAGCTATTCCCAGAGGAAGTGAATATCATATTTTCTAAGCTGGGTTTTTGAACCCATGCCCGGACCGATATGTGACCGTCATCCGTAAATTTAACAGCATTGCTCAACAAGTTAGATAGTATTTGTTTAAGCTTTCCTCTATCTCCCTTCACAAGTGATTGTTTGAGCACTGTGCCATCGTTAGGGTCTAAAACTACATCCACGCCTTTTCTCATGGCCACTGGATGATACAGATCAACTACGTCTTCAAGAAGCTGAGCCAAATCGAATTCTTCTTCAACGAGCGGCATTTTTCCGGCCTCGACTTTGCTCGTATCGAGAATGCAATTCAAAAAACCTGAAAAAAGGAATGTTCGAACTATCAGTTCTACGTAATTCGTCGATTTGCTCAGGGAACTACAAAAGTTCGTCAGCTGGTTTTACCCAACAGGTCCTTTGCGCAAGCTTCCATCTGCTTCAAGTTTTTCTCGAGCTCCGAACCAGGAGAAACTTCATCATAACTTATATCTATAAGGCCGATTATCCCAGCCAAAGACGCGCGAACGTCGTGGCTGGCTTGAGCAAAGGCATTGCTCTTGCTCATACTCTTCCTCTCGGCTTGTCGAGTCGCTTCCATTTGCTTTATAAGTGCAGCTCGCAAGTGCATCTCTATAACCCGAGCCCTCATAATCAAGCATATCAAACCGAATATGGTGATGACCCCCACAGCAATCGATATCACGAGAACCAAGAGCAAGCGCATGTTCCCACGGCGAATCAAACCGATCATTGGATCTTCCAGTTATGACCATGAGAATCTGGGACTCTTCTGCATTTGTGGTTCAAAGAGCAGAGAATCCAACACGAAAAGCATGTAAGCAGACGCATGTTTGTATTATTTAAGGCATAAAATCAGAACGAATCATCTCCTATTTAAACCTTCCCTTTCTCAACAGAATAGCCGTGTAGGTATGTCTTTGAAATCTGCTTACGAAGCTAGGACATGACATGGAATTTTTTCACATGCATGACAAGTATATAGGTAAATTTACAAAAGGGCAATTAGTTAGAAAGCCATTAGCAAGATTAAACATCTACTTGCAAAAAATTTTATTCAGATGACAATGATTGTTTGCTTCTAGTATTATCGATGCGATACAAGTGAGCATACACGCCGTGCTTGGCGATGCAATATAAATAATCTAGTTGTTTTCTAATGTTAAGACGGTTGTAGATGCTAAAAAGGAATGCTAAAAAACAATCGCTTTAAGTCGACACGCTTGCAAACTTAAGCCGTCGACTCCCGGCTGGGACTTCAGAGAGCTTTGATGGAGCATTTGATCAAGTTCGAGGATTGATAGAGCATCGACTCATGACAGAAATTGGTAGCTGAAGATCCACCTTCAAGTGCAAGAATGCTCATAGAGCCTTCGATCAAGTTCTCAGCAAAAGAAACTACATTGCAACAGGTTCTGTCTCAAAGTTGTCACAAGAATCTCACACCTTTGGATCTTCATGAATACCTCGCAGCTGGTCAGATTACATGATGTATCTTGAATCTTCAAATGACTGATGGTTCTTACGGATGTGATTCAGGTAGAATTCTATCATAGTCCAGTTACATCATGCTCTTTGCTCATGTTTGCTAATTCCTCAGGAGACTATAAAATTTGTTAATGATATGATACACGAAAAAATGGGTGGTAAAAAAATAATTAAAATAAATAAAAGAAGAAGGAATAAAGAGAAACAAATCTGATTTTACAAAGTGTGATCTTCATTACCGTTTCTGTAAACTTCCTAATAAGGATATCTAAATCTCTTGCACCGCCTTGACCCACAGAGAAAAGAGAAAAGAGATTAATGACAGGAAAAATCTCTACAAAACTAAAATTAATATAAATTAAATGTTTACTGCCAAAAAATAAAAAATAAATAAATAAAGGAGGACAAAAAGTGGAGGATGTGAGAAGATTAGTTTAGGGATTGTCGATGAAAGTTTAGACTCGCTTCTTTTATCACTTGTTTCTAGCAGGGCAATCGTGTTTTAATTTTTTTCTAGTTAATCTCATTTGATTACAAGTTTATGTGGATGCAAATCTAGCAAGAAAATTTAGAAAAGATTGATAGCTAGTCAAGATTGCGGTATCTCTATTATAAAAATCGAAAAAGTTTTGGGACCTAATTGAGCAGACCGGAAAAAAGTTTAGAAAATACCGATGCCTTCGTCTCGTATGCCATTGCATGTAAAATCAGTTCCTTCATCGTCATGTCAGTTTGTAAACTTAGTCAAATAGATGACACAAATTGATGTCATGTATATGATTTTCACTGTTAATGAAGTCGTGTCGTGGACAGAGCATTTCGACACAATTAGATGGTGTAGGGCTATTCAATGTGCAGATTGAAATTATGTTTGAGCGAACACAATTAGCCTTCGTTTTTAAAAAGAGTATCTTCTATCTATGGACACAGAAGATATTAAGTATAATTAATGGTGGGATCTGATATCACTGAACTGTTCAAGGAAGGTATGCTAAAATTACTTCTATCTAGTGCAAGATCTGCTATTAAATGTTTGAATTTGGTGGGCCTCTTTCATTCATTATTATTAGCAAAAGGGCGTATATGTATGGCAAGCGAAAAATAGCTCAAGATATGAACTTTTTTTTTTTGCAAGTTTTTTTATAAGATAGGAAATATTCAAAGTTTAAAATTGAAATACGTACGTCAGATATAAGATATAGCGATTAATTTGAGTATTTGTTCATTGACGGTAAATTTATAAAATATCTAATGGAGGATATTTTTGGTAAGAAAAAGGGATTCCGATCTCTTATTAAGAACCTTTGTTATAATAGTATAAATCAGCTAATAATACAATTGATATGCGCTCATCTCATGGCATTGCACCCAAGTCAGATCTATAGGGGGATCTTACCTAATTGCATATTTGTCATGCTTAGACTTGACATCACGTTTCTCACCATAGTTCAACATATTTCTCGTTTTCCAACGTTTGAATCGCTTAGAAAAATGAGTTAATAGACAATGTTATCCTAATCAACGAAGAATATATGTTTAAATTCAGCATAATAATTCCTCATTAAAAAATTAGAAATCATTTTATAATAATGTAATTAGAAATCAACGCTTGAACCAGTAACTTTGTGATTAAGCACAAGAACCCAACGCTCGTTCCCGGGCCCTTGGTAGTGAACCCGGGTCTAGAGGCTAGGGCCGGGTCCACCAAGGTGCATCAATGCCAAGCCCAGGTCCAAATAGGCCGGGCCCAGAATATCGGTGCTTACAGCCAAGTCCATAGAGGTTGGGCATGTATAGGACCTCGGCGACTGTGGCTAAGTCCCCAACGCTTGGGCCTAGGTCTACAAAGGCCGAGCCGAAGACTCCAATACCCTTGCACGGCTCCCCAACGCCCTATCCCAAGCCCACAGAGGCCGGGTTCGAGGCCTCAATAATCATGCCCAGATACATAGAGCTCGATCCAAATCCATTGAGTCTGTACTTGGGACTAGGTCCCCGGTATCAAGTCCGAGTCCACAAAGGTCCACCTTGGGACCCCAGTGCAGGTGCTCGGGCCAAGGTACCAAGCGCGGGTCCATCAAGGTTGGGCCTAAGACCTCAGTGCTTGTGCTTGGATCCCCACGCCTGGGACCCCGGTGCCAATGCTTAGGCCCTCGACTTCCATGCCTCGATCCATCGAGGCCGAGCCCGAGACCGGGTCTTTAGCACTTGGGCAAGAGGCCTGACCTCAATAGACCGAAGATTAGGTGTTGGGGACCCAAGCTCAGGAATTAGGGATCCGAGCATGGGCACTAGGGTCCCGAGCCTTGCTTTTACGAACCCAAGCCTAGGGACCTAGCCATTGGTGCCGAAGTCTTGGGCCTAGCCTCTATGGATCCTGGCTTGGGCACCAGGTATGCGGGCCTTAGATCCAGTCCCGAGCGTCGAGGTCCCGCCCACGGGCACCGGGGTCATGGGCCCGGGCTTAATGGACTTAGGCGTGGGTTGCTAGGGTCCCAAGCTCAGCCTCTATGGATCTGGGCAGGGGCATCGGGGTCTTAAGCCTAGCATCTGTAGACCTGGACACCAAGGTCCCCCACTTGGCCTTTGTGGACCCAAGCCCAGCCTTAATGGACTCGGGCCCAGGTACCAGGGATTCAAGCAAAGGGCACTGGGGCCTTGGGCCTAGCCTTTGTGGACCCCGGCTGGGGTGCTAGGGAGCTAAGAACGAGTTGGTTCTCGGGCCCAACTTCCATGGATCTAGGACCGATACCCGTGCTCGTGCCGAGGACCCAGGTGCCCGTTGCAAGGTCCTTGGCGCTCGGCCCGGGGGTCCGTTGAGGTTGGACCCAATATTCATGCCCGGCACATGAGCAAGTCACTAGCACACGAATGGTGTATATATATTTAGAAAAATCAAATTATGTTTTCCTTTTCAAACAACGGAAAATAATTTTCATTTATACCTTTTATGGAATTATAATGAATATTTGCATAGAAATCCACAAACCCGTCTCTCCCATTTCTAATTAGCTTAAGGAAACGCAAACGAGGATACATTGTTCATCCCTAATTCGTTCGATTATGGATTAAGAATGATTAATGGGCCATTATTGAAGTCATCATTCATCATCCACACGGTCCAATTCACGCCAATCAAATTGGTTAATCCCCTCTAACCGAGAATTAACTATAGCCCGCAATTATTTTTTTTGCGTGTGCCTTCATTTCCTATAGATGACAATAGCAATCTACCATCATCACGTGCATTATTTATCTTTCCATAAATCCAATATCAAATCAATATCAAATCACATGCACGACTTCGCTTTTCACTTTAGAAAGAATAAAGTTACATTTATTTTTTTCTGCTTCTCTTTAATAATTAGTCATCATTCTCGCACGAGGAGCTCTTCACAAAATAATGAGATCAGCAATTCAATATATACTACACCGAATGAATGAAGAAGAAGAAAAAGAACAATTGTAAGAATTATCAACAAGAGACGTCAAACTATGTGTTGACGCCGCCGGTCACTGTCGTCGTCGTCGTCGTCGTCGTCGCTATCTTCTTCGTCATCCGCCGTTTCGTCATTCGCCGTTTCGTTATCCACAGCCTAAAACATACAAATTATTTAATGAGTACTTAATCTTTATTTTTTTGGAATTATCACTTGCGGTAAAAATTTCCTTTCTTTTTTTTTTATATTTTTTTCCCCATTGAAAAAAGGGGGAAGAAGCTCACGTGGTAACGTTGCCGGAGGCTGTTCTGAATTGCGGTGATTGTCCGAATCAATATGTACATGGGGACGACAATCCCACTCATCCTCAAAACAAGAACCTGTTCCCACCGCACGAAATATCGAAATTCAGACCAACAAAATCCCACAAAATCTTTAAGTTGGTGACCAATCAAACAACATAAAAGTTCATATGTTTTTTCACTTTTTCAAGCACGAGTTTTGGAACTTACGGTGATGAGGGCAAAAGGGTATTCTTCGGGTTTGCCAGAGAGCACATCGAGCATGTGTCTTAGAAGCAAAAACACTGTAAGCTGCCCACAAAAAAAGATGATTAGGAAGTTAGAACCCACACCCACATCGAACCACTTAGATACCTAATAAGTGCAAAAGTAATGTAATGGACCACAAACTTAGTTGTAGGAAACATGAAATCGACAACCTCCTAGGAAATGGAAGACAAGAAAGATCCCACCAAACTGACACCAAATCAACTAACTCTTGGGCTATGTGGCCTTCGTTTCCTCTTCTTTATTGAAGTTACGCTAACCCAATAGGATTTCAGACCATAAATTGTTTTAAGCGGGGTGCTGCAGAATCCAGTTTGGTTGCCAACTTGCCAGGTGGCAAATCGTGGGCACTGCTCAGTTCCTTCAAAGTTGTGGTCACCCAATATGTTGTTTATGCTAACCTAACTGTTTCTCATTATAATAAGATCAATGATCACCGGGGGTGGAGCATGAATGTAACATATGGACTTACGGTGAGAGCCAATGTCCGGCAACAAGCGGCGCCCCGGTCGGCGGCCGAGGTGCAGTCGGGGTAGACGGCTTCGATCGGCACTCCTGCGGCCACGGCCACCAATCTCGGGCTCTGCGGTCCGGGCTCAACTCGTGGAATTTGCAAGCTATCCCTAAAAGGACAAAAAAGTTTTTTGGATTGGTGTTGAGTGCAGGCAAATGATTGAAATAGATTACCATCTGTCTTGACTTGGATTACATAATGTCATGAAGATTCAAACAAAGCGAAGTTCCAAGAACCCCAAAACTTGGTTTAAAAAAAGGAAACTTTTTTTATAGTTTTGTAATGCAAGTAGTCCCATGTTAGCAGAATAATTAGTCGTCAAGCATGTCCGGCTTTATTATATGGACTTAGTCAATAAAGATGAGTGCATTTCTGGGGACAGCATTCCGAAAGCGGCGCAAAAAAGGGTGGTGATCACTAATGAGAATGTAGGTGCTGACGAAAGGGAAAAGACTAATCGCCCTTAATCTGTAGGCAATAGGCCATGGATTAGGCTAATAAAGTAAGATCAACGAATGAGCAGGAACGGTACCTAATGGTAACAGCTGCTTCAATCATTTGAGACTTCTTTGAAGGTGCTGTGTAACCAGGTTCGTAGTTCTGTGAAAAATTCGCAGATGAAGAAAAACAGAGCAGGTTAGAATAAACACTTGGTGTTCAAGCATGCGAAGATGGTGAGATGGGAATGCGAAAAGACGGCCAAACGCTCCCTTCAAGAAAACTCCAGGGAGAATAGAAAAGGAAAGAAAGAAAAAAAAAATTGTGAGAATTTCGAGAACCCAAATTTGTTTGGACGGCATCCTTTGCACTCCACACATGTGCCAATTCTGATGACATGAGCAGAGAGAGGGAGTAGTAAAATTCAGACGGAGCATAACTTCAATTGAGACAGATTTGGGACGATCCTAATATTCACATGAAGCAAAAGACGACATCTGAGAGAGTTTGAAAAAGCAGAAGCTTTGAAAATTTGGGAAAAAACAAAAGGAGCAAGAGTCCAATTCTGAATTGCAACAAAACACACGTATGGAAAAATCACGCAACGAAATTTCATCCGAACCCCAGCTATCTTCCACAGGAAAATGGAAAAGAAGAAAGGAAGAAAGAAGATAAAGCATGAACATGAACGTTCCACTTTTCGGTCCTGCTCTGTACAGCAAAATCGAATTTTCTTTCTTCTTTTTTCTCTTTGAATATTACCTGAAGACATATTTCACAATTAGTGCTTCCCTTCTCGTTACACCATCTCTGGATACAATCCCTGTGCGCGAACTGCGACGAGCAAAACACAAGATCAGAATCTCCGCGGAGTGGGACAAAGAAAAAAAAGAAACTCGAGAGGGCGATCAAAACAGCGACCGGGGAATCAACGACGGCAAAAAAAAAAACCCGAGCTCAAAAAGCAGAGGAAGGGAATTCCACGGGCTCTCTCACCTTGACGGTCCCCGAACAAGCGCAAGGAGCTTCCAAGCTCTGCTCGCTCTCGAACTCTGCTTCGTGGCAAATCCGGCAGCAAGGAACCGAGGGGCTCGACGGCAAATCGTCCACGAACAGCAAAACATCCCCCATCTTCTCCTTCTTCTTCTTCTTCTTCTTCTTCCCCAGCAGTCCTTCCTTCGGTTCTTTCTGGTGCGGGCGTGTGTTATGCGAGGATGATGATGAGAACTTGCTCTGTTCTCACTTCTCTGTTTCTTCTTTCCAAGTCTCCGTGCCTTCGCCTGTGGCGAGGAGGCCAGGACTTTTAAATACGAAAGTAACCGGACTTGAAATCCCGAGATTGCCCTCCCATTTTATGCCCACCTTATATTTTAAGGCGGATGCTCTTTTTTTCCTAATATTTTTTATTATTAGGAATGGTCGATTTTGCGAAAATTGCTTCGTTACTTTTATTTATTTTTTTAATTATTTATTTTTTGGGGGGGGGGGGGGGGGGGGAGCGGTGTTATGAGAGGATTCCACGCGTATGTGGGAAAGTGAAGGCGAAGGCTTTGACCGGGCAATGCATGGACACGCCGAATTCGAATTGGAACGGTGATGCGGAGTCAAAGTAAGGAAAACGACGTCGTCATAGGACCATTTTCCAAGCTTCATAGCTGTATCGGGCCGACCATTATTTCTCTTTGGTCAGGCTCCTAGAATCTTCCGTTTTTCTTTTAGGGATGATTGCATTGAAAGCCCTAAAATTTATCGTCAAAGTACAATTAAATCATAAAACTTTTAAAAAGTATAATTAAGTCTTCAAACTTGTCACAAAATACAATCGAGTCCTAAAATTTTCAAAAAGTGCAATCAAGTCCTAAAACTTATCAAGTCAGTCCAATTAAATTCTTTTTTCGACTGCACTTTTTGAAAGTTTTGGGACTTGATTGCACTTTCATGACAAGTTTAAGGACTTGATTGCAGTTTTTGAAAATTTTAGGACTCAATTACACTTTCGTGAGACGTTCTAGGACTTCTAATGCGCTTCTCTCTTTCTTTTATAGTTTACCAATGATCATCGAGGGATAAAAGCACTTTTTAAGTTGTTTTCTCTATATAATGGAGTTGGGTTGAGGCTTTACTATAAGGGTTTCGCCACCAGTACAAAATGTTCGATTCGAGCCATGATCGTCTCGATTTGTATGTAAGCGCGGGAGCCGTTTATCGCCGATCCGCCAGAAGGTAAGGAAATCTCTCCGCATGAAATGGCAAAGATGCGCGAAACGACGAGCTGACCAGAGAAGAGAGATGCGACCCTCTTGCCGCCGGGCTACCGGCCCTCGGCGACGGCGCGTTTCTGTGCTGCTCCTTTTTGCGGAGGATCATCGTTCATCCACCCCATTTGTTTTTGTGTCATTAGGCTTTTTCTCTGCTGGTTTGTTCTTGTCAATGGAGAACAGTAGGATCGAGCCCACCACCTCCAATAATGAAATTAGGCGTTTTGCAAGGAACTGGTTCTTGATGGCAGCAGTCACGGTGAATTATGCCGCATAAAAAAACTAATTTAAAAACTAATTTATTAATTCCATAAAGGTACGGAAAATGACCTTTATCTCACTTTTTAATTTTCAAAATTATCCTTGCATGATCACCCACTTGGAGTAATTACCCAAAACCCATATTCTTTATACGCATAATTACCCAAAACCCCTTTTTTTTTCTCGTTAAAAGTGTATTATCGTCTCGACATTTAAATTTGCCTAAATCGTGGGGGTCTCATCTTGCACTAGTGGATATACCTCAAAGTCACTCTTGCATTCAAAAATAAATGCAAGACACGTCGGAGCATCAGTGACACCATGAGACTTTTAATCAGCTCTTCTCTATCAACAGGCCAAAAAATAAAAACGGGAAATTCAGCTCTCGTCAAATACTTCACTTGATCGACCGATACTCGACCTAGTTGAACAATGACATCTGATACGAGGCTCGTAACTATTTCCACGCTATGCATCAAACCCAACGTTGGACCCCGAAAAAAGAAGCCCGATCATAAACTTCTACCCCCATCTTTCAAAATCCGAGATCTCATTTTCCTTTCCCAAGCCTGCCGCGGAAGACAGCGATTCGATTCGATTCAATTCGATTCGATTAGACTTGAATTGGAGCATTGCTTAATACGACAAAGAGTATTCGCGTACGAAAATAGAAAGAAAGATAGTTTGATTGTGCTATATATTTCAGAAAATAGATGTACATTGATGTAGGATGGGGGAGATTTTAAGATAAAGTTTAGGATGTGATCACATGACGTGACGTGGACATATAAGCTCATATTAAGGCTAAGCTATCATTTTTCCTGGCTCCTAACCTCGTGTCCCAATTGGGCCAATTCTTTTTATTAGTAAAATGATTGTCGCAATTCGAAATCTCCTCTCAACCTCAGTAATGCAAATTATAGTAACACCCCCCCACCCCAAAAAAAAAGCAAAAAAAAAAAAAAAACCCCTTTCCGCGTCCCCACGCCACGTGGAGCAGCACCCTTCGAAATTTCAAATATCGCTCCCTTCCTCGGGTTCAAACGCCGACCGTCCGATCGCGCAAATCGAACCGCCACCCGAGACGGGCCGAGGATTTGAAATGAGAGAAAGTGGGCCCCGGTCCGGAGAGATAATAGAAACAGGGGGGGGGGGGGACGCGGTCACCGAGAAAAGGCTAGAGTTAGCTGTTGATCCAGCGGGGCCCATCATTGAGCTCCATGATAAATAAATTAATAATAATAAAATTTGCGGAAATGACGGTAATCTATTATCCGAGGAACGGAAAAAAAAAACAGGCAAGCACAAATTTTTTTTCGCGTTTTTGTTTGGTTTTGGGTGCGTGGGACGCTGACATACGTGCTTATCCCCTCCTCGATCTTATCGTTTGTCCGTCGCCGTTTCTCCTTTACTTATGTTCTTTTTGCCACCTTTTTTCTCTTTTTTTGGAATATCCTTTTTCTTTTCTCTTTTTGGGTGGTCTCGTAATTACGTGGGCAAGAACCCACGATTCGAAAGGTCGAGAATCCTTTTTTGTTTTTTTTTCACTTGATTTTTTTTGTTTTTGATTTTTTGAAGTTCAGGAAGGGCCATTTTAAGACCTTACCAGGCATAGCAAGTGGTCGGCGGCGGCGGCGGCGGCGGCTCTGTGGGGGCTCCTCCACCGCTCGGTCGCGGCGGCGGATTTGAGTTTCTGCCCAATTCCCAGCCGGCTCTCCGCCACTTATGTCCTCCACGTTTTTTAAATTTCAGAATAACCGATTCTATTCGTCGAAGAAAAAGATTAATATTTTAAAAGCGGTAGGTGGTTTTCTTAGAATCATGGGTGAGTCGACCACGTGGAGGAATCATAACACGAACGATACGTTGAGATACGGTCATCGATGGAGAAGCATGCTCTTGGGAGTCAAAAAAAAAAAGAAAAAAGAAAAGAAATTGTTCTTTTCCACGTCATTTTTTTATATTATGAACTGGGCTTTTTCCACGTCATTTAGGGGGGGCGGTTTTGACTGGTCCGACGTTGACGAGGTTTTCCTTAGAAGCAAGCTTGAAAAATGTCAAACCTTTAAGCTTGGGACGCACATTATATATCAACATACGGGGACTCGAGCTCGCGGAAAAATTAATCTTGGACCGTGCCTTTTGTTAGCAGAGACCGCATAAAACGATAAATAAACTAGAAAAATCGAATTTAGATTGTTATATAATCTGGGTTGATGACTCCGCTTGAAACGAAAATTGAAAGATTTGACCGACAAAATTCACGATGTAGATAAGCTTAAATTCACATCCTTAGGAAGAGGGTTCCGAGGGGTGGGATAGAGGGTTCCAAGCGGCCGATCGGTTTGAAACGAAGTCGTTGTCGCCCTATAGTTCTTAGGATAAAAACCCACTTACCAATCTCATTCGCTTGCCTAATGAAAAGCAGCATGACCAATGGAACCAACGAGACATGAAGAAGGCAACCAACATGTGGTGAATATTTGGTAGGGATTGGCAATATAAAGTTTGAAATGCATGGAGTACATTTGAGATTAGCGAATTTGATTTTGCTTGTGATTGGGACGGTTGGTTGAACCGATGGATTGGAGAAGGGTTGCCTTCAGAAGCTCACCACCTAACGTTGGACACATTTGTGGTAGGGGTGTGGCCCATCATGACTTGAGAATTAGGTTCACGATTGTTTTCCGATAGAACTTTTAGGCCCATCTCAACCAAAATAAGAATTTTATAGACTCGTGTTCTATTTCATTTAAGGAAAATCAAGTGAACAGAACACGATGGGCTAGCGAATGCCCAGTTGAAATTATTCAGTTATGGGCTGCCCGGTTTTCCTATAGATGAGTCTATTTTACAAAGTATTGAAAAGTTTTGACACCAAGGCGGAACGATAATAATAAAGGGAAATGAGAGCATACACCGACAGAGTAAAAACGATTTTCCACGAGTGTTCTTATCCATCGTTGATTTGAGCATCGTGACTGTCAGCTTTCTCATTGACCATCAAATTGAGGATAGATAGGGCAGTTTGTGGAAACTTTCTCTTTTACGCTAACCGTTCATGTTGTAAGTACTCTGAAAATAATATATGAACCTTTGCCTCCAATGAAACATATGGGGTTGATTAAATTAAGGTCGTAGGCCGAGTTGATTGTAAAATTTAATCTCCCATGTTACTCCATTCGATCACAAGTTCGAGTCCCTTAGTCGCTCCTCCGTTTCAAGGAATCTCAATTCCTCTATGGCGTTGGTTTGACTTGTGCGTAGTGGATAGAGATCACTCCGACTTTACTCCAGCTCTAGGTCGGTGCGGTGCCGGCAGGTATGCTCAAAATGATCAGTAGCCATTACTCAAACCAAGCACTCCAATCGCAGATGTTGGAAATTATCCAAAGTCTGTTATGCGCATGCATAATTAGGGTGCGCTTATTTCGCGAAAAATGAATGTCCTACAAAAATAAATGAACAAAAAATATTATTACCTTCCACGAAAATGTTCAGGTATCAAATTATTGTCGATAATGATAATATTTTGCACGCGCTAATTATTTCAAGTGATATGAGCGATCATTTTTAGTGGAATATTTTTTAAGTCGTTTATTTTTCATGAAACAAAAAAAAGCCTCTCTCTTTTGAAGATGTGGAAATTCAATTTTCAAAATGGT